AGACCCGTAACACGAAGCTACCTAGTGCCTTGCCAACACATCTGCTCTGGGGAATGTTTTTCATTTTGATCAGAAGCAGCGAACTTGGACTTGGTAACATCTACTGACTCTCACACCAGGGAAGGTAAATCAGGACTTGGACTCGTATTTGCATACAAAATGCCAGATTCTTATCTCTGTTTCGCAATGTACCTTGCCAAGCTCTTCTAAAACTGCCTGTTGCCTGTGGTTTTGAGCAGAATGATAGATGTTTTCCAAATCTGAGATCACAGTTTGACCTTTAAGTTTCATGTGTGGTGTGTGCTTTCATTATTCTTTTTTCCTTGTGACGCTCAACAAAGATTTCAGAAAAAAAAAGTTCCTCTCTGAGGAAATGAGGAAATGCCTTGTAAGGACTAGAAAGGGAGACTAGGAGCCCTGGATTTTGCCTGATGACTTTCTGTGTGACCATAGTTTATCCACCAGAGGAACTGATGTAATGTTATTCCTGTGGGATTAAGATGAAGCTTTGGGAATGTTAGAAATGTTAGTTTGGGATCTTCAAAAGCATAAAGGAGGTGATGAAAATCGAAGAGGATAGTGGTGTTTGAAGTGGGAACACAGAAAAATAAAGTGAGAGAGGAACACTTTTGGGAGGGTCAGATTACAAAAGTTTGTGCTCAGTATCCACCATGACATTTCTGGTTCCTATTCTGTAATTCAAAACAGCCGTTTCTTACAGAAATAGACAATCACTGGATGCCCACCAGGCACCGAGGCTTTGCTGCAGATAATTATGATCTGATGAATGAGCTGTATCTCGGGCTGGGCTCAAACAATGGTTTGCAAGGAGCTCTGCCATCCCTCGGCAAAGGCACTGATGCTCTCCAGCTCCTCTGCTATCGCTCTGGCAGAGATGCACACATGGTTCCCTCTCTGCCCGAGAGCACGTAGCCATTGGTAGTTTCTGCAACAGTTACATAAGGATGTTGGGTGATTGAAGAGCAGTCTAATTGGGTTGGATGGATCAGCAATTTGTGGTGGCTGAAAAGCCAGATGCATAAACTGCATCTTGTATTGTGCCCTCTCCAAATGGTTAGATAGGCCCTCTGATGGCCGCTGTAGCTGGGTCAGATCCATCTGAGGTTGATGGTAGCCAGAGGTTGAAACTATTAGATGTCCGTCAGGGGTGTGTGCTGAGGGAGCCTGAGGAAGCAGTGCTTACCCAACCGTACGGTGCAACGCATGGAGCTGCAGAGGGTGCGCCTCGGGATGAACTCAGCCGCGATGATTTATGGTTCAGCGGGATGGAGCTGAGTTGTCATGAAGTGGGCTGTCTTTTGCATAGCAGATGCTAACAGACTTTGCAAGGCTGGGAACTCCTTCAAACTGCATGAATGAGTTTGCCGATGACTTGCCAAAATATGCAGCGTATTCTTTCTCCTATTGCGCATTGGTTTACTTAGAGATTCAGGGAACCACCTGACTTACCCTAAAATCCTGCCAGCTATATCAGCAGGTAACCCACTCCGCACCAAGACTAGCAAAACTGCAGGCTGTTTATTACTATTTGTGTTACAGCAGTTTTCAATTCCCTTTTAGGATTGGGCCCCGCTTTGCTCAATAATAAAAACTTTGCAGTGCCTCTTTTACAAAGCATGATGCATCTCACAGATGCTTAGCTTGTCTTTAGTTGGGGTTTTTTGATGTATTCTATGTGCTTACTGTGCTGACTTGAAACTTGCTCAGGGCAGAAGAATTATAAAATAAGCAGAGAGGGACAGAAGAAAAAATAAATAAAGTCTTTGTTTTTCTTATGTAGCACCAATCTGTGCCAGCCTGATTTCTAAACAGAAACTTTAAATAGAAATGCATGTTTTGCTTTGACTGAAATATCCCAGAAAAATAAACCAAAGTTATCCCAAAATAGTTTGTGAACTACAATAGCTTGATGAAAGTCTCTTTACAGTATTCCACCATGCTTTGAATTCCTTGAGATTTACCCAGGCTTCTTCATCACCCTCTATAAATGCTGCATCACTGTAGGACATCTAACAAGATTTAACGCATTCACTGCCTTCAGTTCAGGAGCTGTGATTTTTGGGATGGTCTCTGTGTACTTTCTTTCCCTGTGCAGCAACATAATTTTAGACTTACTGATCTAAGAACAACAGGAGATTGACTCTGATTTTTCTTGTGTTGATATGAACCAGGATGTCCTACTGAAGTACATGGAGATGCAGTGCTGTAGAAGTACTATGTAATCGTTTTCACACCTGTGTGTATTTATTACACTGACATCTGAACATATATATCCATTGTCTGATTATCTCTGCTTTGAAACAAACATTTCAGCAGTTGTGTTGGATGAGAGCCTGGAGCTTTCCGATTCCGCGGGTTGGTTGGTCATTTTGTGCCCTATACAATGAACTGCATTAGTTCAACTCTGCTTTCCTGTTGAAATAACAGGTGGAAATTTGGAGAATCTGAGCTAGGGATTGTGGAGGCCCTTTTGGTCTGTGCACTTTTCATGAATGTTTGAGAGCACAACATTCAGTCACTTGGATCTCGTATCTTTAATAATGTCCTGAAACAAATAGGTGCAATTTAGGCCATGCTGAAAAAAAGAAAAGCATCTATTTCAGCGTATTATCTATGTGCAGTAAGACACTACTAGTAAAGCCACAGTTTAGCTTAGAGAAAGGCACAGAGGGTTCAATTCAGCTGCTGTGTGAAGAGGGGTTGGACTCATCCTTACTAATGAAACCAAGACCCAGAGCTTTGAATTGACCCACTGTCTTGCAGAAAAATCCAGTATCCCAAGAGAACCAAGCAGCTTTTTACAGTGCTTGTGCTTTTCTGTTCATTCACAGTTTGTTTGTTAGATGTCATTTGCATGAACAGTCAAACAGTGTTTCAATTCTGTTCCATCAATGTTTTCAAGCCAAGTTTCATTTTGGCACGCAACAGCGATACGGTTGTTCTGTTACTCAACTATTGTTAAAAGAGGCTTAGGTTAAATTCTGGAAGTTAATGAGGGAGCGGTGTGCAGCAATTTGGGTTATGCTTTATGAACTAATTAAATACTTATTTACATGCTGTGTTTACTGTCCTCTCTAGACAGGAGTTTTTGTTCAGTACTCATTTCATGTATAGGTAATTTACAGCTTATTTCAGCCTCATATTCTTGATGCGTGTGCTCTCTTCCCACTACACAAACAGTGAGGCAAATTAATATCCTTGCCTCCCTTGACAACATGCAAGGGTCTTTTTCCTGGGTGAAAGAATTTTTGTAAAGCAAAATGCATGTTTATGTCTTGCCTTTTTATATCTGTGTTCAGTAGTGGTCCTCAAAGTAAAAGATTTTTTTTTAAATACAGGAGTATAAAGTTAGTCTTCTAAAGTCTTATTTAGACATGTAAATAAATGATCTAATTTCCCAAGGTATTGTTTACAAAGCAGATCTGAACAGATCAGCTACTTCTACACCGCAATGAAAATAGCGGCCCCTGAAGCCAGTCATAGCCACGGGCTCCTCACCCACCATCTTCCAGCCAACGATCTGCTCGTCAACCGGTAACGAGCCTGGATCCCGGGCATCCCACGGCATGTTCCCCAGGTTCCCCGGGCAGGGGCCCTGCAGGGTGTGAGTCTGCTCCTGGAGCCGTGGTTCAGCCATGCTGTCTCCTAACCATCAGCACAGGACTTGGACCTTTACCAGGCATAAAATTAGGCTCTTATATCCAAAAATACTGATTAAATTAATTAATATTCACTTTAAAATGTCAATGGGGATTGCTTAGCAAAACCTACACTGATGTATTTAGTTTTAATGATTTTTACAGAGATAAAAGACGAGTCATTAAGACTAGGGCTGATTGAAGAAACAGGACATTATTTACTATGTTTCTAATGAAAGGTTTTCTGAAAGTTACTTATTAGCTTGTAGTAATGAATCTGTTTTGCAGGAATAAAGAAATTTAGGTCCAGCCAGCAAAGCAGTCCAGTTTGGTGCAACCTTTACCAAGGAAAGGAGGTTTTAGGAAAGACACTTGCCTTGCAGGGAATCTCATCTGCCTCTTCTAATTTGTAAACCTAAACCCCTGCCATTTGGCTGAGTCTCATGCAGTCTTCATCACTGAATACCTAAATCAGCCTCTTTAACGGTTAATATTTGCCTAGCTTGCTTGTAGCAGTGTTTCCTAAGTAATCTTTATACATCCACATTTCATTCTCTACTCTAAATATTTACAGTTTTCTTTTCAGTGTTCCTAGGGTGATTTCCCCATGAGCAGGTTCAGTTACGTAGCTCTAGTATAAAAAAAGAAGACAGTTTTTAATTTGCTGGCATTTTGTAGCTTTTGTTCTGCTTGCAAAGTTTAACATTGATTAGTTTTGACACACAATAAAGCCAGCCCATGTGGCCAACGATGCTTTTTGAGGGAGGTATATCCTCTTGTCAGAGTGTGATGTGATGGGTCCCAGATGGAAGAGTTACAGGGTGCAGCTGAGCGGATCCAGCAAATGGCTCTCAGGAGAGAGGTCCTGTCCCTCTGCTCACTCGACCCCTTCCCCATGCATGGTCTTGCCCAGCGGAGAGCTATTCAGGATTTTGCTTGGATTACTGTGCTCTGGGCTCCAGCGGGCACACACAGCTGGGATGAGGCAGGGAGGAGCTGGGAATCCTCCTTCTTAGCAACAGTAGCTGTTAGATCATCTCAGCTGCATTGTGTAGGTGCACCATGATACCGTTTAGGCTGGCACTTAAATAGCTGTTAATATGAAGTCTCTGATGATGTGTTGATTTTAAATTATTTCCTGAATTATGGCCTGTTGGGAGGCTACAACAGAGTTTAGAAAAGAAAACATTCCCTCTCACGTTGGTGGAATTTTCCCTGTTTTATATATGATCACAAAGTGATCCTTGGCTTAATGACAGTGCATAAAAGGTACTGCTGTGTCACTGCTTTCATAGTTACTTGTTGCCAGTACCGTGGTTAAAGCGCTGAATTCTTTTGCAGGTTAATGAAATTTATCATGATGAGTCCCTGGGTGCTCACATTAACGTGGTCTTAGTGAGGATAATCCTGCTGAGCTACGGCAAGGTAAGTAAAGGTTAATTTAAATGGAGGATATCGATATCTCTGAACTTCATTCTTTTATGAACAATGTAGTTACTGGTGACATGTATCGGTTTTGTATTTTAATTCATCCATTGTCCTTACCAGTCTATGAATATAAAGAACGTTTATGTTTATATGTATTTGTTTATCATTTGAACTTCACATTTCAAATAATTTCAGTTTCTTCTGGGTTTTCTCTGTGTCATTTTAAATTGCTGCTTAGCTCTGGCACTCTATCTTTTCAGATTTGTTTGGAATAATCTATGAAACGTAGTGAACATTTTGGTTCCTAAAGAAAACATGAGGTGTTGTGGTAGAACTGTATGTAAGTAACAATAAACACAAGATCAGTTCTGCAAGATGCTGAGGGCTACAGCCTCATTCCAAGAACTCATTTAAACTTGGGCTTAACATTAGTGGGACTACACATGTGCTTAAAGTTAAGTGCGAGTTCTGTGGGATAGGGGCCAGAAGGCAAGAGCTCTGCAGATCAGATCTGTAATTAAGAATACCAAGTGTTCTCTCGCTGTTTCTATGGAAGTGGTTATTCTGCAGGCAAAACTCAGGTAAAGAGGAATGGAATGCTAAATGGTTTTCAAAAGTATTGAACTGCTCAGTACCTGTGTCCTGTTTTTGCCAAATCAACATCAAATTCCATGGAAACAGGAACAGGGCATTTCAAGTATGTTGATAAATGCTTTGGTTAAGGACATACGATTTTATAGCAGCATGCCCAGCTGCTCAAAGCAGCGTGTTAAAATCTAATGTCCCTTTCTGTGACTGGAGTTGCTGGCATTTGCATGTTCATGGAATAAACCTGGGTTCTGGAAGACTCCGTGTATGTTCATGCAAGCTGCTGAAATACTGTCAGTGAAGAGCCAGCGCAGACGGCATCAGTGGTGAAGCTCCACTGACATTCACCAGTTTACCCTGCTCGACACCAGCTAAGAATTTTCCTCCCTGGTGCAAAGGAGGGAGCTCTCAGTTCTAGTCTGGACTCTGCTGGAGACCGGTTACCTGGATTTTGGATAAATTGTTCTGTCTGTGCTTCCCCATTGGAGAACTAAACACACTGATCCATCTCCGCTCTTCCTGCAGTGATGTAGATGATGATGATATAGTTAAGTGTTTTGAATAAGCTTAATCAGATGCGCATCCTAAAATAAAAGGTAAAAAAGGTCACATTTGCCATTTTGTGATCAAAAGTCCATGGTGTGTGTAGTAACATTAAATTACAAAATAAATGAAATATCCTTGTGATTGCTGTAATGACAGCAATTTGAGGGATTGCAGATTGACTAATAATTCTCAAAAAATTCTGATATTGCAGTAGTGGTAGAAGCCAGAAGAATGAGCACATGGGCTAGTCACATCTTTGCTGTCCTTATTTCATAAGTATTTCATAATTGTTATGTGTGTCCATCTTTAGCTCTATAGATCTGCACCAGTGGTCTGAACTCTGATAACTTCTGCTATTTTTCTGATGGCAGACAATAGCTACGGTAGACCTCATTTCACCTTAAGAATCTTTATTTCTTGTGAAGAATAAAGCGTTGTCCATTGATAATTTGAAAGTTATCGATTTCATATGAATCTTCTTTAGAGAAGAGAGTGGGGTGGAGTGCAGAAACCTTCACTTCGTGGTGGGTCTTTGGCCACATCACAAAAATAGCCATTGCAGGTAGCACTGTGTAATCTGCTTGTGGATAGTCTACTTCTGGATTCTGGATCCGTAATCTGCAGTGGACGATGTTTTAGTTCCTGAGTTATCCTGCTGGTTTCAGCAGGGCATAAAATGGAATAATTCTAGTATCACAAGCTTACCCTAAATAACCATGAAGATAATTTTTCTTGCATTTCTGTATCTGATTCTTGTTTCCATGAAAGGCAATTTATGGCTGTCTGAAAAAAGTAAAATGAACGTAAAAGGTACCATTTCAGAGCTCCTCCACTGGATGGTGTGGGGGCCTGCATGCCCTGGCTGTATAAGAATAAAGTTTTTTATGTTCATATTTTTAAAGCTCCTGATCAGAGGACTAGTACCAGGGAGCAGAAGGTGAGGTTGTTTCTCTTCGGAGGGTTGGGATTATTTAGCAGTGGAAAAGCAGAGAGAAAAGGTGTATAGTTCTTACTTTCTGAAGCTGTTCTGAGGAATTAGAACAGAACCTTCAATATTTTACTATCCCACTAAAACACACCAGCACTACCAATTTTTAGGAATATATATTCAAAGTACATAATAAAAGGAAGCGTGCATGCACAAGTTAAGGCAGTGCATGAATGAAGCAGCCTGGTTGGCCTCACAATGTGAAAATATTATCCCAGTCTTGTTTGAATAAGCATTTCTTTTGAGAGCATGTAGCTGATATCTTCAGGTTCATTTGCTTCATTGTAGGCAATTTATATATATTATCAAGGGTGCCATTTAAATAATCATAATAATTACGTTATGGTTCTGTAATTGATGATGTATGTACCATCAACGTCAGGTTTATGACAGCACTCTGAGCTATTGCCAATTCTCCACCCCTGAACAGCCTTCTACTGTATTGTGTGTTTTTTTTTTTTAAAGAGGATTATATTATTTTATACAATATGTCATCTGTTGATAAGAATAATATGGACAATACTTGAGTTGCATAGCAACCAGTTTTTCAGTACTTCTTGAAAGTACTCCATTCCTTGAAATGTACTTATTTTTTAATATTTTCAAACACAGGCAACTGTACACTCAAAAGTTTCAAACATAGGCAACTGTACATTCAAAAGTTTCAATAATTTTAGTAATTGCATTAATTGCCCTGGTGAGATGAAAAAATGGAAGATGTTCCTTGGTGATCACGTGTTGAAATAATTTCAGGGGCAAATTCAAAAGATCTGACACGGTTTTGCTGAATTAACACTTTGTGTAAGTTATCACCTCTGGGCTTAGACTGAGGGTATGGCAGGGCGGGGGCTGCCCCCGGGGACCAGGCCTGCCAAGGAGCACCAGGCTTGGACGCTGGCTGGGTGGTGTGTTCGAGGAGAGGGCAGCGTGTGGCTCTGCTGTGTCTGGGGTAGGCGTGCTGAAGCTACCAGCCCTTTCCTGACTCCCCACTTTTCTCTTAGTACTTCAAACAAATGAACAACGCTACCTGACGTACCAGAGGGGCTGATGTGAAGGCTTTGACCATGCCTGGCTGCTGCCCGCTCATTTATCAATTCCATCAACAGGATAGAAAAATGTGTTCTGCAAAGGCTGCTCCGTATCTGCGGTGGCTTTGGAAGCTACCATGCATTTCTCTGTGTTGTCTTTACATTGACTCCCAAAGTCAGAGGCTTTTTCGATGTGATGGGATACTGCAAATAAGTAAACAGGGTACATGCGGTGCATTTTTCTTCAAATGGGAAAAAGATGAGCTGGCTCGCTTCTGCCTTTTTGACTAAAGTAGTATGAAGATTGGTTCCAAATTTTGGAAACTGCGGATACATTTGAGATGAATATAATTCAATGTTTGGGCAAATTATTCCATTTAGACCTATTTTGGTTGTAACGGCTCTGTAATCCAGCTAGCTGTAGAATACTCAGGGGAATAAGCAAAGCAACCACTATCACCAAGTGCAGAGGAGGTGGCAAGAGATGAGCTGAGAATGGGTTTAAAAACTTGGACTGGTTATTATAAAATTTGTTTGGAAACATTTAAATCCTGAGCACTGCATAAAATCCTCTCATCACCTCTTTGAGGTGGATGAATAAAGATTATTATTCCCATTTTACAGCTAAAAACCCAAAGACGTTAAGTGTTATTTTCCAAGGCCACATGGAAGGCCACTGGCAGGCTGGGGATAAGAACTCATAAATTCCTGGCTCCAGCCCCACGCTCTGTCCATCGACAATGGTGACTTTGTGCAGATGAGCTGCCCTTGCACAGCAGCAGAGAAAAGCACATGTGTTAGCTGGGATGGGTGTAATTAAGACAGTTATTAATAAAGTCAGAAAGACTTTTGCAGGAACTGCAGGGGTTTCAATAAGTGCAGCCACCTGAGGATTTATGAAGGTTATTTCTTGGGAAATGTGAACGTGGCAGTGCAGGACACCCCTAAACTCTCCTTTGGAGCAACATGCACAGCTTGAGTCACCCATATTCAGACTGGAACAGGGTGAGATAGGCTGAGGGATGCTGTGTCTGCTCTGTACGTATCTGGGATGGCAACTAGTAGGGAGGGAAGACCCGTGTTAGCTATAAACCAGTGTTGGCCCCAGAACTAGTGGTTGTACTCTGGCCATGTGTTAACTTGGTCAAATTGAAAGAGGAACCTGACCACCAAGGTAGAGAGCTTTTCAAAAAGATTAGGGGAGGGAAGAAAACCCAAATGGCTTTAGGATGGCAGTTCAGGAAGGAGGTAGTATGGGATGGATGCCTACAATCTCATAGGACAGGACTGTTCAACTGAGAAGGATTTTTCAGTTGTGTATGTCTATTAGCAGAGCTCCTGCTGCCTTCATTTGGGACAAGATTTTACCTTCGATCTTTTCATAAAATGGTGCTCTTTTTATCTCTGCCATCTGACCTTTTCATGTCTAAGCTTGACGCAAGCAGGGAAGATGTTCTCAGTTCAGCCAGGATGGAAAGCGGTGGTTCGGTCTGAGCCAGGTTCTTCTCTGTGTTTCCCAGAGGGTGGCACAGGTGACACAGCTGAGATGGAAGGACAAGCCAGGTTTGTCCCTTAAATCTGATGTTAGTCCTTACCATTTTGCCGTTGACCCTCGTCGGAGGGAAAGGGATGAGTGCTCCCCTCATCTCTGTTTGTCCCAGGAAGAGGCGAAGACTGGGTGAAGGCAGTTGTGCCTGGCAAGGCAAGGGAGTTGTTAGCTGTACATTAGGATCACAGAGTAGCTGTGCTTGGAGGGGACCTCTGGCTATCATCTAGTCCAACCCCCCTGCTCAAATCAGGGTCACCTACAGCAGGTTGCTCAGGACCTTGTCCAGCTGGGTTTTGAA